AAATATATCGGGTATTAACTTTGAAAGTTATAGTTAAACACATATCTATCTATGAAAGTAACCTACATGAAACCCAGACGAAGTTTGTTCAACTATATAGTTAAGACACACACACACACAACCTCTATGAAAGTAACTTACATGAAACCCAGACGAAGTTTGTTCAACTATATAGTTAAGACACATACACACTATCTATGAAAGAACCTACATGAAACCCAGACGAAGTTTGTTCAACTATATAGTTAAGACACACACACACACAACCTCTATGAAAGTAACTTACATGAAACCCAGACGAAGTTTGTTCAACTATATAGTTAAGACACATACACACTATCTATGAAAGTAACTACATGAAACCCAGACGAAGTTTGTTCAACTTGAGTATATAAAAACAGTTTGTATTCATTTTTAAATTCAACAGCAAGTTCAATATTTGATTGTTGGTTAACAAGGTTCGCTAAAAAGAATTAATTTGATCAGTTTTATCAAACAGGACAAAAGTTTTATCATCATACCTAGTATAACGAAAAGATTTGGATTCACCAGTACAGATAGTCACCCATTGTATTTCATGCTAGTTTAGGAATAAGTTTATTCAAATAGGGGCAAGACAAGATCCCAATCCCCCTCCATCTTCCTGGTCATACGTTTTATTGCTTAAAATAAAGTCTGAATCCTTTGTGCCAAATGCTAATATCTTTTAATGAGTTTGTAATATTTCTCACGATGTCCTGATCGTGATATTCTAGCTTTTCAGCCAAATGAAAGGTTTCATTGAAAGGAATATTGGTGAATAAAAAATCAACATCAAAACTTCTTGTATAATTAGGTTTTGGTAAACTAACAATTGCTATGTGGTTAGAAAAGGATAAACTGTCCACAACATGAATTTCGGAAGAAGTAAATTCCTTTAGAAAAAAAAAAAGAGTTTAAAATATATTCAACTTATGACTGTAAGAATCAATAGTGAAAACAATGAACATCGTGAGTACGTAAACTTTGTGTGCGTTTGGTAACCCATAAAGAATACCTGGGTGAGAACCAACAAGCCGTAACTCATTGTAAGTAAACTAATCTTTTCTCTGCTTGTGATGAACAAACCCTTACGGTTAAAGACTCTCAGGTCATTATGGCCTATAAAAAGGAATTGAACCTAACAGAAAGCTCCATTAATTTTCTTCTCGGTTAAGTAGGTTTACTTAATAAGCCTTCAGTAACTGCCTAAAAATTTACCAATTGATAACTAAGCAACTGTCTTTTGTCGGTTATTCCGCGACAGTTAAGTACTGTTTTCTAAGCCTGTAACATACATCTACTGATGTGAAAAGAAAAAAGAGGCAGAAACGTTTATCTACAATGGGGCAATGACAACTGAAAAACAACAAAATATTTACTGCTTGTTACTGAAACAACACAGACTCGTGTAATTGTCGTCAAAACAATAACAAAAGACTCAAGAATGTTCCAAGAAAGATAACTAATGTTCCATTGTTGTTCTTCTGACAAGGAATTCCTCAAGAAAGACAGTTGTTGGCGGACACTAAATACTTTACGACACAAAAAATGACGTAGAAACACTTTATCAGCAAACTACGTTCCGTTTGTCAAGAACTCACTTTCACGGTTGTTTTTTTTTTTGTTGTTTTTTTCTATTTGTTTTTCATTCCATGCAGGAAGAATAGGATATTTTAAAATTTAGGCAAGGTCTTTGGATTGTTTTTGTGTTTGGTGAATGTTTTTTATGTGAATTTGCACTCACACATGTATATACTACAATTTCTCAATAATTGGAAATGAAAAAGTCGTGTTTGACATCTTTCACATATACTATTCTCTTAAAGTAACACAGTAGTAAACTTCAGTTCAGAACCTGGCATGTTTGAATCTAGATAATAGTCTAGAGCATGACTACAGCTGTTGGTTATTTCTACCTTTGGGTGTGAAAATATACTAGAGCTGTTGGTTGTTTCTACCCTTAGGTGTAAGGATATATTCTACAGCTGCTGGTTGTTTCTGCCTTTGGGTGTAAGGATATACTACAGTTTTGAGATCTAATGTTTATTCATAAAGTTGTCTCACCAGACAGAAAGGAAAACTATCATCTACAGAATGTTGCGTTTGTTTAATAGCAAAGGCACGTTTGAGCTATCTGCTATGTCCATCACGAGTATCTAACCCCTATTTTAGTGTTGTACATTCGAAGGCTTACTGCTGTTCCAACTGGGAAAGAATGTTTTTAACTCGTTGATAAAACGTTAATTCTTTGATCGTAAATCGCCGACAGAATGTTTCCTGATTGATCTTAAGTCATCAACACAATGTCAATTCTTTAACCTTAAGTCAATGACAGAATGTTTCGTCTTTAAGTTAACATTTTGTTTAAATCATTCGTTTTATTTTCCATCGATTACAGTATGTTTGGTTCATTATCACAGCCATTTTACTTTTCTTAATAAAGTGATCATTTCATCTCTCGATCACTTGAACTCCAATAAATCACCACCTTTGTACTTTCGCGTGAATTTCTCTTGTGACGAGTCTTGGAATTAAACGATGAAATGTGAAACAATATAATCCATTTTTCAATAATAAATTATTGCTAATTTATGCGACAATCAATAGTAGAGATCATGAAAAGTGACGTTTACAGATATACTAAAACTAAATGCAAATATGTGTCAGTCTTATTAATATATGCATCGGCCTGTAAACATCGCCATCTACAATCTGGAGAAAAGACTATACACTCCCCACTTTAAGCCTAATCATAATGTGAGTTATGTCAGTAAATTTTGCCTTATCTTTTGATTGTTGTTCACGATATCTAGTTTATTTGTGATATTCTTTAACATAGCTTATGTTTCTTGATAATGTTGTACAGGATAATTTATACATCGTACGATTACGAGACGAAGGTACTGCAATCAGATCTGTGTGTGTCTGTCTGTGTTTCCTCGCGCATATATCGAAAACAAAAGACCGATGTACATGAACATTTTACACAAGTCAGTATGGGACAGTCCTCCCCAGATCACTTTGAATTATTTTATATAATGGGGAGATAGGGAATTTTCGCGGTCTTGGGTTAATTAATAACTCTGTAAAGTGTGACCGGATTTGTATCAAATTGTATTAGAACATTAAGGTTGCGACTCCTCATCACACTACACATAATGATTCGGATTGTTGATCATTTTCTGAGTTATCCAATATAAACACATGCAATTTGGAAAAGGATCGAGGGCATGTTATCTTTCTGATTGCTCTTCTTTGTTTGGTTATTCATAATACCTCAGTAACGCCTCCATCTTGTTGCTGGAAAAGTCACGTATTGCACCACCTAGTGAGTGAACTTAGTCCAAGCAGTTCCTTTTCAATTCGAGACTATTACACATGTCTATGACGTGTATAAAAAAATTAAACAATCGCGGAAGGAAAGACAACTACCACGTTGCTAGGCAACAAAGCTGGTTGCCCTTATAAGGAAATCGTGCTCCTTTCCGATGTAACAGGAGCTTTAACCCTAACACAGAATTTTTATTGTTGTATTATCAATCGTTGCTCAATCTAAAAAAAAAAGTATTGGAAACCCTAGCAATCTGTAGTTAGCACGTTTCTAAGGGAAGCTACAAGTCTTAAACATTAGATCTGGTTGTTTTTAAAATCTCTTCTTTTTAGATCTGTCAAATAATAAGCAATGGGTCTTGTTCAATTTACTGTTTGATTTTTACCTCTTTAATCAGTTATGGTTATATATTTATTTAAAACTGGGTTGTCTCATGATTGAACCTTTAATTCATCAATCATGTCCACTATAGTTATATTTGAAGGCTTTGAAATCGATTAAGTGGAAAGCAGTAAGTCGACTGATAATTCTAAAGAATGACTTCACATCTAGTAACTTGGACACTACAGTGTATATAATTATACTGGTAGTTAAGCTGTGTACGGTGTTAACACTTATAACAAACTTGCAGATTACAGCCACATGCTTTCCACGTTTTATTTTTTTTTATTACTACTTAAAATTCTCCTCCTATTTTAACATATATATATATATATATATAATGTACAGGAAATACGTCATAAACTATCACGTTCCTGGAAAACGTTAGGGCCAAAAGTACACTCTCTTTCTCTCTCAGGCAACGAGCCAAAGCTAACACTGAACGACTGATAGTTTACCTGTGGTGTATCTACTTACTAGGCAACATTAGTATACTATTTAGTTTAAAGTAATTCCAAATATTTAGCTTATTCTGTGCAATAATTGATTAAAGGCACACTTACATATAAATAAATGTTTAACACTTCATGTTTTCACCTTGATAGTGTACTACGAAACGTTTAACACTTGATGTTTTGATCATGAGTGTATTACAAAACATTTAACAATTCAGGTTTTGATCATGACAGTGTATTACAAAACATTTAACACTTCATGTGCTTTTGCCCTGATATCACGGTGCATAAAGTAAAATTTTATACAACCTTTCAACAACTACAATGATTACCTGTCTCTACCACAATACCCACTTATTTCAACAACTACAGTGATTACCTGTCTCTACCACAACACCAACTTATTTCAACAACTACAGTGATTACCGGTCCCTAGCACAATATCCACTTATTTCAACAACTAGTGATTACCTGTCTCTACCACAATACCCACTTATTTCAACAACTACAGTGATTACCTGTCTCTACCATAATACCCACTTATTTCAATTACAGTGATCACTTATGTAGTCATTATTACAGCTACAAGTCTGATAATTACAAGGACATCATACAAACTTACATATGATGTTAGATGAAAGCTAAATAAATTGTTAGAAAACTTATCATTATCTTTTGTATAAACCTAACACGTTTTTTATTTGTTATAACAAATATATAAAAAGGGTAATATGCCTTTATTTCATAACTATATCTATGGGGGGAAAGTTATCTAAATTTCTTGAAGCAAAATACAAAAATTCAGACAAAGCTTTCTCTTTCAAAGTTTTATCTTTAATCTTATTTCTTCAATTACATAAACTCAGACAAAGCTTTCTCTTTCAAAGATTTTTACTTTAATCTTCTTTCTTCAATTTAATCTTGGAGAGATGACCAATGGGTATCATTTTTAATCCCAATTGTCGGCTCCACTTCCTCCCCAGGCTGGAGGTGCTGCTGGTGTAGGACCTGCAGACCAATCATCCGTAACAGCTGACCAATCTTCTGTTGGAGCTGGGGCTGCAGCAGGAGTACCCATTACTGGAATTGGCTCGGCTCCCCACTGTTATGAAATATATATATATATTTAAGATCACAAGTCTTTATTTTATAGCTACAAAGTGGAATAGTTTAGCAAATGTTCTAAATTTAAAGTTGAACAATAATTTATGATACTTTAGCTTCTAAATACTTAACAAACAGTAGCTGAAAGATAATGAAATATTTTAGGATTCAGGAAAATATTAAGATAATTGAATTTACAGAGGAGCAAACATGCAAGAGTTTAGCAAACTTTTGACAGATGACAGACGTTGTCTTGTATTTGGTGTATCATTAAAAGAATGTGAACTGCACGTAATGAACATACCACTTGATCAATATATCAACACACTTAATTCACTTGTAGTTGAAAAATGGTAACTATTTATCTTTATATACTGCAAAGGCTAGTCAAGAAACATTTGTAAGATACATTTCACAATAAATGTCAATATTCCAATAATTTGGGCCTCATATAAGTTTATATAAGTTAATTGAAAACCACTGAATTCTTTACCACTAGTGAAGGTTTCCAGTAGAATAAGGAATATTTTAAGAACATTTTACTATAAAATTACAATCTTACTGCTGAACATACATAATACTTTACTCTTTAGTGTCAACAACCCTGAATTACATGCAAAGTATTTAGAGTTGCACCCAATTTAGAAACATTAAACTAGCTCACACTGACTGAATGTGGGCTAAGACTTGCCAGGTGTAGAGCAGCTCACTGAAGTTCACTACGTTTTAACATAATGTCATTATATAGAGTTGAACCTATTAACTTCTGAAAGTACAAGAAATGGCCTCTGCAGCTTAAGTAACAAAAAACATAATGTTAAACCAATCTAAGTTGTTGACCAAATCAAGAACCCTCGATACTGATACAGAAACTTTTTTTAAGAAGAATTATAATTGTTTAAACAGAGTAAAGAAAACCTTACATCTTCCACATCAGGCTGTGGAATGCCTACGTCGCCACCACCCCACTGCTCTGTTGGTGCTTCTGTTACTTCCTTTGGAGCCTTTTCTTCTTGTACTTGAGCCTGTTCTTCTTTCTCAGCCTAAAGCAGAATAAGAATAATCATTTTACCCTGTCTCTAGTATAACTACTCCAGAAAAGATTTCTGTTCAACAGGTTCACGACATCATGCTCCACTGGTGGTACATATGCATGTTTTCTGTTGGACGTCATGTACCACCCATGGTACACACTACCCATAAGATATAACTCTACCTCATGTCACCAAAGTCCAATACAAAGCATTTATTTTGTATGGATGACTATAATGAAGCCACACCTTCCATCATGCACCACTGGTGGAACATGAATGCCATGTTGAAAGGACAACTGAAATACATGATTAAATCCCTTTTTATTTTAACATTACATCTAGAGATTGGCATTAAATTTTTGATTGTGAGTAGTTGAAGCAAAAAAACACTAATTGACACTTGTTTTATAAATAAGAAACCTGTAATATAATAAGGATAGAGCTATTATCATCCACAGTAGGGATTATTTTATCTGATGTCCTTTTTTACAACCATAAAATTAGCTGTATCTAAGGTATAGTTCACAATGAGGCCTTATGTTCCTATTGATAAGAACGTGTTAATGACAGAAGCTTGTTACAACCAACATATAAAATACAATAAAGGATGAACAGAGATAATACAGATATTAATGAAAGGTCTTTAAGTCATTTATAAACATGTAACAATTCTAAAAATGCTTTTCACTGATCCAATGGTAGCCACCCACTTCTGATCACAAAACTGTAAACCACTTTCAATGATCCTATGGTATCCGCCCACTTCTGATCCCAAAACTGTAAACCACTTTATTGTAGGCTGTCACTATTTACTCATTTATCTTTAAAGAAATACCCATTTTTATGAACTTTTGGCACAAAGTTTGAGTATTTCCTACTTGGCAAATTACTAATAAAGATAAACACATTTGCCATTTTTTGTTTGTGAAATATGTAGCAATATCCTGTTGATCTTATGTAAATCAAATAATGAAAACATGTTTTACTGTCAGTGATAATGGTAATAATATTTTGAATTAAAACATACATTTACAGTAATTAAAAATAATTAAGTAGACAGTAAATTATTTATCTGATATATTGTCATCAAAGAAAATTTCTAACAAATGCATGTAATTTAACAAATACTTTTATGAAAGAAAAGAATGTCAAAAGAAACTATAAAAAATTCCCAGTTCTGTAGGCTGTTCCTAAAGTCTTCAAAATTTCCCACCAAATGCCTTTCTTTGGCCAATGCTTCCGGCAGTGGGACCAGAAAGGCAAGGCTGAAAAATACTAGTGAAATGCTTAAAAACAAACTTTCAGATTTAAAAAATACAGTAATTTGGAAACACTTTTAATCATAAAGTTCAGTTATTTACAAACAGTCTGTTTATAAAATTGTGGCTTAGATGACGTTATGTCCCACAAGTGTACATATTCAAGTCAGACTTGCTGAGGATATGTCTTATCTTTTTTTATATAAACATGTCCATATGACAGGTTTCAATATTCAGTTACTACCTGTTAAAGGTGTGCACCAGTATACATTACAGGATTACACTATCAACTTATAATTGTTCCTAAAAAAATCAAATCCAAATGTATGAAGTCACATTTATTGGCATTTATTCATTTTATTGCTAATTATGTAAAATAAGGATGGTAAAAAAGATATTAATTGAAAACATACAGTAAAAATACCATTTAAAAAATATATATACAGCAAAAAATAGTGACCAGAAATTTTTTTTTAAAATACTGAATATTATACCATATAAGGTCACACTGGTTAAAGAAACTCCCAAAAAACAAACTACTGATCAAACCACTTTATTTACTATAATTCCTGCTCTATCCAATCCCGTTAACACTTTTGCAATAGGAGCCCCTTTAAACACTTTTCTCTGCAAGTCACTGTTACATTCAAAATTTAATCAAACACCTGTATTATTAATGTATGTAAATGAAATTAATATTATATTGTAAGTTATGACTAAAGTTCTATTGTATCCAAGTTTCAAGTCCTTTATTCAAAATGAACCTTTATAAAACTACTTAAAACTTTAGTCACGTGACTACAAACATTCTCTATTTTGTATCTTCAATAATACGTAGGTAGTTAAGTATAGATAATAAGATGATTATACAACCTTCTGACCCATACATTTGAAAGTTCTTTGAATGAATGCAGTTGAAACAAGTAATACATTTTTTAAACCTCTAACAGGTGCCACACCCACCTTCAACAGATTTGTTTCAGCTTTGTAGATGTTACATACACATGTGTATACTCATTAGAACCTCATTTTACACTGTAATCTAACAACGGTTATTTTAAAATTGGCATGCAGTTGTCATCATGGATTACATGTAACTAACTGTAGTATTGTTGGCTGCTTGATCAACTGTACCACTTACAGTTGTTTCTTACCAAAATATGTTATAGTTAGAGATACAAGTTAAATTGTATTTAGGTCTTACTTTTATATTTTAGTTAATTATGTATTAATTATGTTTTAAAATACATAATTAAAAGGTTTAAACATTTTATAAATATACATCATACTCTGTGTCAGTTATCAAGACTTACAATATTACATGGTGCATGAATATTTTGCTGAAGGGTTGCGCATGTCTGCCAGAGACACTGTAATATGCCTTGAAGGCACTGTTGACTTGTGTCAAGATGAATAATAAGTGGCAAAGGACAAGAGAGGAAACTAAAACTTAACTATTAAAAATTAACTATGTGTGAAAAGGAAAAAACCTGAAATTACAATTTTAACAAAAGGAAAATCTTTAAAGTTATTCTATAAAAAATTAAAAGGTAGTTATTTCATTGCATTGTACGTTGATGATAATAGCTTGTTAATGATATGGTAAAGAAAATGAAATATAAAACAAACATTTACCTTAAAAAATCTTTTGATGTTCATTTAGGAGGATTTAGAAATTATACAAACGAAATATGAAAACTATAAGATTAAGAAAAGTATTTTTATACTTAAAATTAAAATCACCTTGCAGTTGATTTGTTAGTTTCAATGCAAGTAACTACAGCAGAAAAATTAAATTTTTAGTAAAAACAATTATAATAATGTTACTATTTATGTACAAGATACTTATGATTTTTAACAAAATCTTACCAGTTTTTGAGAGTATACGTTAAGAAGTCTCAGTTACCATATGTATTGTTAATAATGCTTGGAGACAGCTTGAATGGGTAATGAAGAAAAACTTTAATATAAGTTTAGCATAACAGCAAATGTACAACGTTTCGACATCATCAGGCACCTTGTTGAAACGTTGTGCATTTGCTTTTATGTTAACCTTGTATTAAAGTTTTTCTTCATTACCCATTCAAGCCGTCTCCAACCATTATTAGTCTCAAAGTGGGTTCCTTGTCATCGAACATGTATTGTTGTACAAGTGAAATTCAAAACTCGATTTCCACAAATTGCACAAGCCCGCCGCAAAAGGATTAAAACTGATTTTATAGCTGTTTTTAAAGTTTCATTAATAAATGCTTGAAAATTGAGAAACAGATAACATATTCTCAAAAAGATGATATATCATTCTAAATCTAAAGCAATTTTTTAGAATTCTAAAACATCAAGCATGTTGTTTACAGAAGTGAATAATCACAGTTACATAGAAATGATATTTTACCACCTTATTCATTAATTACAGTAACTTACAACTTGTAGTTTTATTCGGTCACAGAAAAAATACATACTAAACATCACAATTCGACAACATAAAGTTTACTTAAAATCTATGAAAGTGGTTGAAGTAATGGTGAAAAAATATTAAAAGCCAGAGGAAACCCCGATAAACTATAGCATCTATTTTAATGCATCAGAACACTTCATAGAGAAGCCATTCTTGACAGCTAGGTATAGTTTATACTCAAACATCAATAGTAGAAATACAAAAATATTTCATAAAAACTATAAACATCACCTCTTCAGGGTCACGGTAGAAGTACAGATCTACCATCACATCCCACTTGATGGCACGGCTGATGGTGCCCCTCATCCTCAACACTTCTCTGGCTAACATCCACCACATCAAGCCAATAGAGTGAGGGCCCTTAAACAAGTTAAAAATGGAATTACAAAATGTGCAAATAATTTTTCAAGTTACTCTATTCATATTTTTACATCTTATCTAAATAAAGTAAAAAAAAACAGCATAGCATTCTTTTCTCTACAATTTCATATAATTAACCTGTTTATTGTAGTGTCACAAAATTTCATACAGTCTACTGCTTGATTTGGCTGCAGGATTGTAAAGCTGGTCAGCCAAATTACTTCATTACTGTAATATGTAATTACATGATTGTCACCTTATTGTTACATGGTATAGCAATGTCAACATTACTGTAATATATAATTACCTTATTATTACATGGTATAGCAATGTCAACATTACTGTAATTACCTTATTATTACATGGTATAGCAATGTCAACATTACTGTAATTACCTTATTGTTACATGTTATAGCAACATTACAGTACTATATAATTACCTTATTATTACATGGTATAGCAATGTCAAAATTACTGTAATCACTTTATTGTTTCACACAATAGAGCACTGTCAATATTACTGTAATATATAATTACCTTATTATTGCATGGTATAGCAATGTCAACATATCTCATAGGAGAATCTGTATTACAGAAGGCAATAACAGGAATGTTCACGTAGGAAGCTTCTGTCACAGGCTGGTGGTCAACTCGGGGATCAGTTACAACGAGGAGGCGGGGCTCTCTGAAAGCAGCCTGAATCTGATTGGTGAATGTTCCTGGGGTGAATCGTCCAGCAATGGGAGTTGAGCCGGTTGCCGATGCAAATTTAAGAACAGCTCTCTGGCCGTATGGACGGGCAGAAATAACACAGATGTCTGCGGGATTTTCTATAGCAACAATGGCTCGAGCAGCAAGCAGAAGTTTCTCCCAGGTTTTTTTTAGGTTTATCAGATGAACACCTGCAAAAAAATGCAAAGTTTGATATTTTAATGATTAGACCTACAAAACAGCATAAGATATATCTAAATATAAAACAAAAATACAACTTGGTAATAAGACATGTAATTGTGTGAACATATCATTTATGTCTTAAACACTCAAGGAAAATTAAATACTTTTAAAACAATTTCTCACTGCGTAACTTGAAAAACAATGAAATGAAACTCTTCTCGTGTCATTGTACTCAAAAATAAAACACAGTTACATACACAGCTAATCCTTTTGGACCAGGTGTTGTCCTTGATTTTTTCCTTCTTATAGTGGAAATATTTATAATCAAATTGCATGAATATTTAGGGAAAAATCCTACTAAATTGTATCAAGTTTTGGCATAAAAAATTCATACCTTAATTTAGTTGTTTTTATCCTTTTTTATGCTGCAAAACTTAACATTTGTTGTGAGACACTCCTTTTAACTCTTTCAACACAGATTCAGTCCCAAGGACTGACCTCATAACCATTTTGTACTTGTTATAGTTTTCATGCTGTAAATTTTAAACTAGTAAGTGTATCTACACAAAATTTTGCATATTATCAGTAAACATTACAAGGTTTTGTATAGTAAATATAATATAAGATTTCTTAAGTAATGATTTTCTCATGCCTTTTTTAATGTCAACTATCCAACATGCAAAGTAATGATGATTTTAAGAATAAAATGCTATTATGGATTAGAAAATTTTCATATTTCACATGCAAAATCTTTATAGCCCCCAGATAATTATCAAACGTTTCTTAGAAAAAAAACTTTGTATTTTATCTGTTATTTTCTCTACTGTATCTCTGTACAGGTTGGGTTGATTTGACCGATCTCGTAACCACCATAAAAAATTAGGAAATAAACACACATTATGCTTTTTTTGTTCTAGAATGACAACAAATTATAACACAAATGTTTAGTCTAAATACCTTAAATCTCGTAACATTATACATCTATATATATATTTATAACTTTACTTTATATTGACCTTTTAGTCGTGCCTGGCTAACATTACAGAAGATGCAATAACGTGGTCCACATGCACTCATATTACCGTATCTACTAATATAAAACTGGTCGCTACTAAGTAACTTGTCTTGGCTGTGTTTTAGTATACTAGTATTTTGTAAAATACAGTCATATATCAATTATTATACATTATACATGTATATAGATTATTGCTATTTTGAAAAAAGTTCTTAACCTTATTTTTCTTAAACATAGAACAGTAAATAAAGAAGTATAGCAAACAATTATCTCTTCTAGTTATGACCTTTGTATTCAGTTGCTGCTTGACATAGGTTGCTAAGCCTTTTAAAATTGTGTACATGGAGGATGTGAAATATATTTTAGGTTTTATATATTCATTTTGAAATAAGTAAAATCATATATTACTATATCAACACCACAAAAATTCCACAATAATTTATCAAACTTAGTAATGAAGCTGTACTTGGGTCTAAAAAAATATTAAAGTTCGAGCTCACTAATGTCTCACCTTATTGCTTGGAATCTAGCATCAAAAGAAAGATTCTGCTATGCAAGTACTTTGCTGAGGTTAAAAAAGCCACTAGAGGAACATTCTGAGCTTTCAATTGGTTATACACATGTAATTGGGCAAAGTAGGTGTACGTAAGCAAGTATTTTCAAACATTCAAGAGACGGGTGGGTCATCTTTGTTGATTTAATAAATATATTAATATCTCAGAAAATAGAAAAGAGCTTGTCAATACCGGTAATTTGAGTTCCTAATTCGTAAAAAACTACAGACTTTGTATTTGGACTTTATAAACATCTAATTTGAACCAGTGCTGCATTCAACATACCACATGACACACAAAAATTGATATTTAGGATTTTTAATATTTACTTCCAAATTACAAAATTAACTAATTTATAATACTAAAATTTGAATTGTAATCTACAATCTGATACCAAACTTATTGACATACATTCACAAAATATTAGTTCAATAAAATTTTGAATGCGAGTCGACACACACGATGATAGTAGGGTTAAAAAACATTAAAAATACATTTTATTTTCAAATATTTTAATACTGATTAGAGAGTTCTATTTTATATACATTTAACTAGTTTCAACGTTTACTCTAAGTTGTTGATCACTAATTATGACCATAAATCATTAAAAAACTAACGGATGACATCACAGTAGGTAATAATATTCTTGGTTAACAACAATTTATACCTGATATTTCTTATCAGTAAATTATAAGTTGTTTACTTTACACTGTTGACTTTGATACACTTAATATTCAGTAAATACACACTTGAGTCACTGGTATATATTGCTGTCACATACTATACTCTCTAAACCTAACCTGATGTTTTTTCATAGAAGAAAATTTCTGTAACTTTCATAGAAATATGATTTAGTATAAAAACATTTTCAGAAACACCCTATTCCTGTCTATTTCTAGTTGGTAGAATAGCCCCATCCTATTCCTGCCTATTTCTATTTGGTAGATTAGCCCCACCCTATTCCTGTTTATTTCTATTTGGTAGATTAGACCCTCCTATTCCTGTTTACTTTTATAGGGAAGACCAGATACACCCACAACATTCCCAGCAATGGTGGGCTGCTGGATACCCATGATGTCACTACTTTTCAATTTTTACACATTCCTTATTTACTCCCAAACAATGAAGGTTAATTTTCTGAAAGCACATGTTTTACCAAGTTGTTTTTTTGTGATTTATCAGTTATTTTTTTTATTTCAATGTTGAATAAATTCCACTTAAAACCAAAAGTCCCAAATCTCTCAACTACATCTTAATTATAACTAAATGTAACCATCTATAAAAACAAGAGAGCCATTTCTACTATCTTTTATTATATTCCTTCAAACTCATTATTTATAACACTGAAATGGAATTAGTTCATAAATTTAACATTCTTTTTACATAAACCCAAGATCTGTATTTAAAACCCCAATACAACCCTTCTACCAGGTCAACCTGGAATTTAATATAAAAGAAATCAAATATCCTTGTCTTCCATGCATACATACCATCAGACCGTCTCTTAAAGACATACTGCTCCATCTGGTAGTCGAGATTATTGGTCCCAATATGAGTACTGCAAGCAAGAAACTTAGTAACATCATCCTGTTGAAGAGCTAAGACACTGAGACCTCCAGACATTATTGCTGGCCAAGAGTTACGACGGACAACCTTTCAGAAAGAAGATAAACACAAACAGAAAACCTTTTGTAAATAAAACACAAAGAATAGCTTTATAAACACTTGTAACAGTTACACTATAAATCACTTGTAATTAAACTACACAGAATAGTTATATGAACACTTCTAACAGTTACACTATAAATCACTTGTAATTAAACTACACAGAATAGTTATACGAACACTTGTAACAGTTACACTATAAATCACTTGTAATTAAACTACACAGAATAGTTATACGAACACTTGTAACAGTTACACTATACATCACTTGTAATTAAACTACACAGAATAGTTATACAAACACTTGTAACAGTTACTCTATAAATCACTTCTAACAGTTACATTATAAATCACTTGAAAATAACCATTTCTCTACTCAGCAGTTCAAAAAAGGCTGAGATTATTAAAACAGTAATAAAGAGAATATAATTTCAAACAAGTTATTAGTTCATATAACACTCATATATAGTATATTAGTTCATATATAGTAATGGATTTTATCAATTAAATAATTAACTTGCCAGGCTTTTAGTTAGAAACAAATTTTAAGATTATTTACAAAAACTTTAGAAACCCGGATCCAAAGTTGTTTTCAGACAGAATTACATGTATATATCTGTTAAATTCATAAATATCAATTGGCAGGCATAATGAAGTGATTATATTTTTAGGAGAACATGAAAAATGTTTTGAAAGAACATTGATTTCTCTTCTTCAGACAATGTTCTGTTTAAATATGCAGTACACTCCCCCATTATTAAATCAATGTTTGTTAACTTACTAAAATAATAGTATTATGTGTTACCACACACAACAAACATCTCTATAAGTTACCAACATCACCAATGATGCAGTGTGTACTGTTAATATTGTTAGGACAGCGGAAGTCACGTGACACTGGAGTTTCTAGAAAGATCATTACTTATTGGGGAACCTCGCAATTGTCCCAGTGTTTGCTAGACGCCTTCTTTTTTAGTATATAAGCCAGCGATACATAGAATTGCATAGATAGATAGATTGAAGATAGAGATAATTGAGTCAAGCGAACAGTAGGCACCTTAAGTAAAGTGTGTGAATTGCTGTGATTTATAGCATGTGTTATAAAGGTTGTTAAGCTTAAAGTGACTGGAAATTCTGTGTATTACAAAGTTGTATTGAGAAACAATAAACTAGTTTTAATCAAGGAAGGACTTGTATCGCTGAAGTTCTTCAGAAAGAATTTCTACAGGAAATTAACAAACAAGCAAATACATAACAAATTGGTGTCAGAGAGTGGGACAGAAAATAAAAAACTACAGCTTAGCAGATTTGATGGCAGCAATACAAGAACAGCAAAAGAAACAAGAAGCGAGATTACAGCAGTTGTTGGAGGAGAAAGAAAAGAAACAAGAAAGACAACAGCAGTGGCAAGAAAACCTGTAACAGTGACAGCTCGAACAGCAGCAGCAGCAAAAAAAAAAAAAAAAGAAAAAAGAAGAAGAAGAAGAAGAA